AAGGCTCGGAGATGGACATCACCAACCTCAAGTTCCTCCTTCTTTGCTTCCAACAGATGTCGGGCCTCAAGATTAACTTCGATAAGAGCGATGTTATGGTGATGGGATATTCCCCCGCTGAGTCTGTGGCCATTGCCAACAGACTTAATTGCCGCCTGGGCTCTTTCCCCACTACCTACCTTGGGACGCCCATTAGTGACTCGCGCCTCTCTGTCGCAGACCTACGCCCCTCCGTGACCAAGCTCCAGACCAGATGCGAGCCCTGGCAGGGGAGGTGGCTTTCCAAGGCGGCCCGGACTATCCTTATCAACTCCTCCCTCTCCAGCCTCCTCTTGTTTCTTATGAGTTTCTACAGCCTCCATGAATCTCTCCATAAGGAGATCGCCAAAATCCAGTCCCGATTCTACTGGGCTGGCGAGCATGGCCAGCAGAAGTATCACATGGTCAGCTGGCCTGACATCTGCAAGCCCAGGGAGCAGGGTGGATTGGGCATCATGTGCTCTAAACGGATGAATATTGCCCTTCTATCCCGGTGGCTGTGGCGTATCACGCAGGGTCATGGTGGCCTCTGGCTGGACATTATCCGGAATAAGTACCTGCGTGGTCAACCCCTTGCCTTTTGCCAGAAATCGGGAGGTTCTCAGTTCTGGCAGTCCCTCGTCCAGCTTCTTCCGGTGCTCCGCATTGGTACCTCTATCTCGGCGGGGTCCGGCCTCTCGACGCTCTTCTGGTTTGATCGCTGGGCCGGCGACTCTCCCTTTGCGGCCTGCTTCCCCACCCTCTTCTCTATCGCTGTCGACCCCATGATCTCTGTTGATAGGGCCCTTCTTGACTTAGGGCGCCTCGCTTTCCGTCGGCCATTTGGGCCGGCGGAATCCGCCGCCTGGCGTGAGTTGCTTGACTGCGTTGCTCTGCATGAGCCGGTGGTGGATGGGGATTAGGATCTTGTGCGCTGGCACCTGGAGCCGTCGGGCCAGTTCTCTACCAAATCGCTATACTTGGCCATTGCCCCCTCATCCGCTCCCCTCCCCCTATCGATGGTGTGGTCCGTCCGCGTCCCCCTGAAGATTCGCATCTTCATGTGGCAGTGGATCCGTGGACGGATCCCGTCCGGTGTGGAGGTCCGCAAGCGTAATGGCCCGGGCACTGGTATCTGCCCCCTCTGTGCTGTTCCCGAGGACTCCAACCACATCTTCTTCGCCTGCGTCTCCGCCCGGTTCCTCTGGAGCTGCTTTCGCGAGATTGTCGGTGGGAGTTGGTGCCACACCAATTTCCCGGACTTTTTTGCTGAACTCCAATTGTCCCCTTCGTCCTCTCGCCACATTAGGTGGCTCGAGGTTGGGGTCCTTGCCTGGACGCTTTGGACCGTTCGCAATAAGCTAGTGATCCAGCGTACTCCTCTTCGTCGCGCTACTGATGCTCTCTACAAATTCTCTGGTTTCTTGCAGCTTTGGCGGCCGCTTAGCCGCCCCCTGGATCGGGACGCCATCTCTGCCTTCATCGCCGATCTCCGCTCGATGGCCGTCCGCCTGTCGCCCCCGCCGCCGCCGCCTCCGCCGGAGCCTGACTAGATCGCCTGCACTGGGCAGGCTTTGTTTTTTCTCTTTCTTCTGGGTTTGTTGAGCTGTGCCCTCAGCAGAACCTTAATACTTTGTTGTGGTACTTGGGTGGTGTGTGTGTGTGGACCTGTTGTGGTTGTATGTCTTGTGGCGGTTTGCTTTATTTATAAAGCGGGGCAAAAGCCTTTTTCGGTAAACCAACATAAGGCAAACTGGCATTGTTCTATCCTTACTAATTGCAGTGCATTAGTAAGAAAACTAAAACGGTCCCTTGCACAAGTGAAGTAGCAGGCTTCCTTGCACCAGATAAAGAATGAATTCAAAAGATTATGTGGACTGAATTATTTTAGAAACTGAAAATAATGTTACCAAAGTTGGGAATCCAAATATTCAGCTACAGCAGAGGACTTGCGGGCATGTGTTTTGACGAAAAAGGGTTTCCCCCCGCTTTATAGATAAAGCACCATCACCACCACATTCGAGTAAGAAGATACAAACGCACTCCACCACCACACTCAACGCACACACCCAAGGCGAGATACAAAGGTGCCGAGCACCGAAAACACCACCCCAACGACGACTAAGCACCCTAATGATTAGCCGAAGACCACCATGAAGATGAACAATCAACCGAGGAGCGGTGAGACGGACATGGACGGAGCGGGGACTCCAAGACGATGCCTTCATGAAGGATACGACCGTAGAAAGCCGTCATCATCTGATCCTGAAGATCAAGTTTTCACCAGGAGTGACACGCAGGAAGTGGGAGCACCACGACGGAGCCTGCAGGGAGGGGAACGACGTCCACGGACTCCGCCTCCGTCGGCCAATATCGGGACTGGGCAAGTGGTGAACCCCGGTGCTCCTACCCCTCCGTCGCAACCCCGCTCCGCCAACCACCCGCAACCATGCCGCCCAAGCGACCGTGGCTGCCCGCCCGCACCCGAGCTGCGCGGTCAACCCACGACCAACGCGCCTCCCGCTGCCAGAGCCGCCACCCTGCCTCCAGACCACCCCGATGACCACCAAAGGCCGAGACTAAACAAATCCGCACCCCAACCGCCTCCGAGACCGCCGGCCAACCCCCTCTGCCTCGAGCAACGCCGGAACCAAGAACACGCGAGGATGGGGAAGGGGGAGGGGGAGGAGTGGCCCACGGCCACGACCGGCAACCACCTTAGGCCGGCGATAGGCAGCTCAGCAGCGGAGCCCCCGTCCCTCCAACCAGCTCCCCGCCTCGAAACCACCAGTTTTGCCCCACCCAGCCATTGGCCCGACCCTGCGCGAGACCACGGCAGCGGCCCGTCGCCGGAGCAGAGAAAGCAGAGCCCTCGCCGCCACGTCCATGGATGGCCATTAGAGAAGTCTCCCGCATTGTACGACGCCGACCACCTGCAAGGGCCCGACCAGGCAGCGGCGCACGCATCCACCCGCTGCCACGCCGCCTCCCTGCCCATGAGCCATGGCAGTGGAGGCCGACCGCGACCCAGGTCGCCCGCGACCCGCGGCTCCAGAGGCGGATCTGGGTGCGCCGCCGCGATGCAGCCGCCCGCCACCACCGGCCTCTAGCCCGCACCACCTCCGTGCTGCCCGTCGCATCGCCGTCATGCACCGTCGCCGGCCCACTCCGGAGTGCCACTGAGCTGCCGCGCCCAGCGCCGAGCGCCGCATCCGGCCTGAGGAATCCGGCCCACGCCGTATCCCCCGTGCGCGGAGACGAGAGAGCCCCGCCGCCGCCCGCGATGAGCGGGCTTCGGCCGCTCGCGCCCCCCGGCGGCGGCGAGGGAGGAGGGAATGGAGGAGGGAGGGACTGGCAGCGGCGCTAGGGTTAGGCCCCCCGGACGCCCGCGGGAGCGTCGCGGGAGGAAGGGGACCTGCGGACATGTGTTTTGCCTACAGAAATCATTAGTCAGTTGCATTCTTATGCGAATTTTTGTCCCATTAATGGTTTTTTCACCGTTTGCAGTTGTGGTGTTCTTTCTCTTTCTACTACCATCAGCTATCGTACGGAATACTCTGTGTTGTGATCACCTTTCAACAGCGAACCGTTTTTTGGTACCAGTATAATTCATTAACTCTTCCTCAGCATGAAGTTTTGCAACTAAACTTGAAATAGTTTTGTAGAAGGCTATTTTTGTGTTCCTTGAAGAGTTTCCAATTTAATTGCCTCATGTTTAAATAACTATAACTTATTTTTCTAGCTGCTCTGTCCACACACACACACACACACACACACACACACACACACACACGCACACAACCCATTGGCACTCGTAGCGCGTGCTCCCCACATGGGTTGAGCCGCAGGCTGTGCACCACATTCCGTAGGTTTTCTAGACTTAGTTACAATGCCACATGTCGTCTTAACCCGCCGTCAAGTTTTTGAAAAAAGAACAACCCCGTCCTTGAAAGTATTATGTATTTTTTCCTCTTTTATTTGTATATAATATCTTAACCTGACTAGCTTGTGCCAAGTTCACTTAACTAGTCTTGAAAATGAGGATGTTGGAGCCAATGCAGCTCAGATGTGAATATGGGTGGTCTGTTATGACTGAGATCTATCGTTCTTTTGCATTTCTACATGCATGCTTCCAATCCTATAAAGAACCTATCGTTTTTTTTACGCTTTAGAATTTGTGATTTAGGTGTACAGAAGGCCCTGAATCCTCTGCCTTTCTTTTTGAAAAATTACAATTTTATTTTATTTTCCTAGAGCACTCATTCTGTGAACACAAGGGATAAACTTCTCTGCAAGCTTTTTAAACCATTTTGATGACTTGGTGAAATCTCTACCAGAGCATCTCTTATAGTAGCACCCATACATCTGCTTTTTCTCATGATATCTATCTGATAAAGTTTCAAAGGAGTTGGAATGTTTAGTACTACTACCTTTCATATTTCTCTTGCTTGAGTATGCATGTTCTTATCTAATAAAATTCTCTTTCAAAGCAGTCTTTCACCTTTAACGTGTCTTGTGACTGGGAAGGCTCGTGGTCCTTCTGGGTTGCTCAACATTGAGTTTTTTTTCTATCCTTTTGTGTTCCACCACCTTCTATCCATCATTTAAAGCTTCAACATTTACTTCAGTCTTCTTAAGATCACCTTTCTATGTTATGATGATACCTTCTTCACCAGGCTTCCTGTTTTTTTTGCGTATCGTCTACATATGGTTCACATTCTTCCTCACCTTAGCAGCTCAAATTGAATGATCAACTTCGTTCTTTTCGCCAGTCCCCCATGACCTTAGCAGGAGCAGATTTGGATTTGGCATGAGTAGGTTTTGGGCACAGTGTTTTATCAGAACAAGAGTAGAAAGCATTCTTAGAGCAAAATATTTTCACCACTCTTATAAATTTTAAAGCTTTCTTAGATTCTTGTTTGAGTAACTTTTTCCTTCTTACCACCATTTCTTTATCATTTGCATTGTTTTTCAATTTACAGGTTGGTATATTGCACGTGCGGAAAGGTCGCAAAGATCCGAGGCGCAGATGCACTTTAAGTCTGAGATTAAATGTAGCAGAAGGCGTAGGCGTTCACAAGTGGTATGCATCCTTTCAACTAGTATGAGGCTTCTAGTAAAAGGCATATGGATTTGGGGCTCGGGCCAATAGGGTTGTACTCCCTCTGTAAACTAATATAAGAGCGTTTATATCACTACTCCCTCCGTCCGCGAATAAGTGTACATCTAGCTTTTGTCTTAAGTCAAAGTTTTAATACTTTGACCACCTTTCTAGGAAAGAGTAAAAGCATTTATGGCACCAAATTAGTATCACTAGATTCGTTTTGAAATGTACTTTCATAATATATCAATTTGATGTCATATATGTTATTACTATTTTCTATAAAGTTGGTCAAAATTTTAAAACTTTGACTTAGAACAAAAGTTAGATGTACACTTATTCGCGGACGGAGGGAGTACTTTATAGTGATCTAAACGCTCTTATATTAGTTTACAGGGGGAGTATGTTTTATGTTTGTATATCCGAATGTGTGTTTCCCTCCGTTCATTTCTATGTGAGATAGATGTTTTAACAATGAAATTCCACTTTCCAGGTACTTTAACTGTCGAAGTATGAGATACTTGTCAGTGCAAGAGAGTGCGCCTAGTTGATTTGATGAATATGGTGGGATAGGCATTTTAACTTTCCCCCCCTCTAGGTGCTTAATATATTATTATATGAAACAAAGATTGATCATATATCTGCTTTTTTATTGCAGAAGAAAAGCGGCACCACTAGTCAACGAATTGGAATCCGTGACTTGCCTAGAGTGCAACTGTCTGGATGAACGCTTGTACAGTAGGTAGTTTATTCATGCAGGGAGTAGCAAGGAGACCAGGGTGCTGCTGTGACACTGGTTGTGGCCTAGATAATTGGTTTCAGGGCTGTTGGTCAGAGTCAAAATTTATGGCAACTTTGTTCTGGGGCTACCATTATAGGCATTCGTTGATGACGGTTTCAGGGAGACGTGCTTGTGTTGCATGAGCTGATTTGCTGACATAAACAAATGATCAGCGTTTTTCTTGTATTATTAATGGTTGGTTTTACAAGCATTTGTTGTCTTCTCTTAGTTAAAATTATGATTTCCCAGATGTGCTGCCTAGAGCATCTCCAAAAGCAGACCCAAAAAATGAGCACAATACCTAAAAATTAAACAGTTTTTTTTTGGCCCAAAATTCCAATAGCAGACTTACCGATCATTTTATCTTCTAGTAACCTAAGGGCAACTCCAACCGTCTAACGCATTTTGTCCGTTTGGGTCTGCGAGGGCAAAAACCACGGCCCAACACGATGACCCATTTTGTGAAACGGTTAGTTTTGTGTTTGCCCTGATGCAAATCTGCCTCAAATTTAGGCCACGTTTCGTGTCCACACTGATACGAGATAGACGTGTCACACTTCTGCTTCTTGTTCGGCCTGGACCCGCGCGTTGGCCACCCAACCACATCCGATTTTTTGTTAGAAAAGACCACATACGTTTCTGGATTGATAAAAAAGATTACCTGCTCATCATATCGACAAAAAAAGACCGGCTATGCCATGGCGGCAGGCTCGGCAGACGACACATGGCACCTGCCGCCACAGCGCACGGCGGCGGGAGGTCCTATATGACGCTCTTTGCGTCAAGTTGCTGGTGTTTCGCACAGAGCATCCACTTGGCGGGCTTGTTGGGCCGTTTTCTGTTTCTACTGTTTCCCTTCTGTCTAAAAAAAAATACCATAGTTGCAGGGATTCGAACCCAAGACCTTACACTATACAAAAAGTGGAACTACCAGTTAATGATTCTTCAGCAGCGCCAAGCTTAAAGAACCAAACAGGCAGCGCAGTCCAAAATATATATCTTGAATTTCAAAAGCATTTTTATTAAAAAAAACAAAGGGATCTGTGACACACAAGCAAATTGCTGATTCAAAAAAAAAACGAAATGTTTGAAAAATCAGGAACATTTTTTTGAAATGGAACCTTTTTAAATTCCAAGGCAGAAATTGAAAACACGAACATATTTGAAAAATGTGAAAACAAGAACATTTTCTGAAAATTTTAAACTGAACAATTTTCAAAACTCCTGAAAAGTTGAAAACATGTGCATTTTTGAAAATTGCGAACAATTTTTGGAAACGAGAACATTTTTGAACTGCCCAATTTTTTTGAAATTTGTGAACAAAAAGTTGAGACTGAACAATTTCAAAACTCCTGAAGAAATGAAAACATGCACATTTTTCAAATTTGTGAACAAATTTTGAAAGCGGGAACATGTTTTGAACTGCCCGAACATTTTTTGAAATTTGTGAACAAAAATTTGATATTGAACAATTTTGAAACACCTGAAAAAATTAAATGTGCAAATTTTATAAAATTGCGAACAATTTTTTGAAAACGGGAACATGTTTTGAACAGCCCGAACATTTTTTGAAATTTGTGAATTTTTTTTTGAAAATGAACAATTTTGAAACTCAAAAGTGAGAGTGTGCACATTTTTCTGAATTTTTTTTGAACAATTTTCAAAAATGGGAACATTTTTTGAAATTCCTGGGCAATTTTTGAACAAATTTTGAAAGCGAAAACATATCTCTTAAACCGAACATTTTTTAATTTGTGAACAAATTTCGAAAAGACGAACAATTTTTTAAAATTCTAAAAGTTTATCAAATTTCTAAACAAAAATTTGAAAACAGGAACATTTTTTTTTTGCCTAGGCGAACGAAAAAATTGAAAGTGCAGAAAATGATTTTGGAAAACATGAATTTTTTTTGAAGTTGCTAACAAATTATGAAATTCTGAACAAAGTTTTAAACCATAAACTTTTTTTGAATTTTTGAACAAATATTTAAAATGGGACATTTCATGAAATATGTACATTTTTTGAACCAAAGCGAACAAATTTTGCAAATTATGAACAAAATTTGAAAACAGGAACATTTTTTGTAAAAATGAACAAAATTTGTAAAATGCGAACATTTTTGACAAAGAAAAAGAAATCTGAGAAAGAAAATGAAAATGAAAAGAAAAGAAAATCAGAGAAAAAAGAAACAAGTAAAGAAAATAAACATAAAAAGGAAACACTGAGATAAAAGGAAAAAATAAATAGAAAAAACAGAAAAGAAAGAAATCCGGTTCAGGAACCTTTTAGAAGGTTCCCGAAACGTAAAAAACCGGCTGGGAACCTTCGGAAGGTTCCCAAAACCGGGAACACTGAAAACGCGCAGACGGGCCGGCCCAAAATCGAACGATCGCCTGATCGCCTGTGTGCGAAGCCGCGTCTGTTTGCCACAGAGAGCGGCGAATAGGGAATTCCCACGGCGGCAGCCTGTGCATCACAGGGAATTGGCCGGGCCAACAGAACGGAAACACGCTAGTTGGCCACACGACGCGACGCGATTTTGGACTGTAGGGTTTTTGATTTGTTCTGCGCATGCATAGCAAGTACTACACGCAAGACCCTCAAAAAAAAAAAAGCAAGTACACGCACATGCACCACCATTCTACTAGCGGGGCAAAGCCTGTATGCATGAGGCACGCACAGCAGGCGCTGGTGGTGCCCAAAAATTGTTGCATGTACTTGGATGAGGCGCGGTAACCGAAAACAATCGTCTCTCATCTGTTTCACGCATGTATTTAGGCTGAAAGTCCTCCTATGCATGCATGCGCAGAACCAACTAACAGCCCTGTAATCCAAAGTCGTGTTGCGCCATTTTTTTTGTTAATAATAAATAATGATCCAGTTATTCTAAAACTGATAAAGGTAACTTAGAATGTTGAAAAATGAAAAGGACGCTATGAGTAATAGCGTCCAAGCTGGCCGCTAGTGTGAACCATATCCAGGTCTGGATGCTAGTATTATCAGCGTCCAATGCATGGTTCAACTAGAACAAAAGAGCAAGAACAATGACCGGCAAAAAATGCATACGTGATAAACTAAAGATGGCACAAGCAACAAAAATTAAGAAGAGACAACGCACTTGGCTGGACCCCGCAAGTCAGCAAGACGTTTCGGTCCCTCCATGCGGTACCCTGGCAATGAGTGAGTCAGATTCTTAGGAGTTGGATATGCTTGTAAGGGCATCTCCAACGTGAACCCCTAAACCGCTTGCAATTATTAGGATCGAGCAGTACATACGTGTTTTGTCATTCAATGCGATACTCCATTGGTTCATGGATCGGTTTGGATGTCTGTTTCCTCATAAACCGGAGGCAAACTAGGGGGTCTTGCGGGCGTCTAGACCGATGTCACGTACGCATCCGACAACTCGATCCCATTCAAAAACCATCCCGTGTGAAACTGTTACTTACATTCATGTTGGCCAGCGCAGTTCCAGAGCAGACTTGACGGTCCGGTATTGATACCTGTCAGAGGGACACGACTGGACGAGCACGCGACATTGATTCAATGCAGACTTGGCAACTGAGAAGCCTACTCCGGCCGCTGCGTCGCATTGAAGCTGGCATCCAATCCCTTCGTCTGGCCTTGATGCCTATTTAAGTAGGAATTGGATGTCGTCCAACCCTATTCGCTCCTCACTGCTCTGGCACCGTCCACACTCTTCGCACCTCACTGCTCCGGCGACGTCCACTACTCTCCGATCCTCCTTGCTCCCACCCTCCTCGCTCCTTGCTGCTCCAGCGTCGAGGACATCATCGTACCATGCCCAAATCGTGGTTCTCCATGCCATCAGGTAGCAATGGTGGCTTCGGATCTTCCTCTGGATCATGGCGCCACCGCTATTGCTCTCCGAGGTCGTCTTCCTCAATGGCCGCCGGTGACGAGGACCAGGCGGCACCCAGGCAAGCATGTCACACCCCGCACCCTTCCGCCACTGGAAGGATTACTCCAACTCCGACGACGGCCCGACCAGCCAGGGCTGCCACATGTACGAGGTTAGCGTTCCTGGATCCGGCTTGCCTGCTCCCTCCCCATGCTCCCATCCGTGCTCCCACTTCATCCTACGGTTGTCCTTTTTCCTTTTTTCTTTCTAGAGAAGGGAGAGAAGTTCACATTTCAACCTCGAACTAACAACTCGGCTTGATTTACAACCCCGAACTATGAAACCGGTCGAAATACACCCCGAACTAACCACAAGGTCCAAAACACAACCCTGGTCTTTGTTTTGTGTCTGTCAAGCGGTTTTGACCGAAGTCAACGCTGACTGGACTGCTGACTAGGCACCCAGGAAATAAAAAAACAAGAACAAAACTCTACCCCCTCTTCTATCTCTCTCTGCCAATGAGTAAAAGGATGCAGCCGCCGCCGCTCGTTCTCTCTATCTCTGTTCATCGCCCAGCCGCCCCTGCCTCTGTCTGTCGTCGGCGCCAGCCTACACCACCTGCAGCCTGACACCGGAACAGCCGCTCTAGCTGCTCGCAAACAACCAGTCGCGGCGCCTAGGCAGCGCCGATGCAGTACCTCCGTCCGTCGCCGTCGCCGTCGCCAGACAACACCAACTGCAGCCTCTAGCTGGAACAGCCGTTCTGGGCCTGTATAGGAAGATGACGACCGGGAGGATACTATGCTCTCTGCCGCCGCCTCGCTGCTGCATGGCCGGGAAAGGGGCAATGTGTGATGGACGGTGGGGAGTGGTCGGGGAGGGGCGTCAGCGCAGCTCGGGACGGCAGTGTTGGAACCGGTCTTTCAGGTAGTAGTGCATGCACAAACGTGCGTGCTGTTGCTGTGCCAACGCCCACGATCTGCATGCTACTACTCATTTCTAGGGGTGGTTAGCCTGTGCATAGCTAAGTTAGTTAAGAACTTAAGATAGCTGTGTGTCCGTGTGTAATCTCTGTATAAATGTACACTGAGAGAATCAATACAGCTGTCTACCTCACTTCACTTTCTACAGGCAGCGGCAACAGTAGCAAGGACCGAGTCTAGTAAGGCACGGGCATCCAGTACCCGGCGTCGGAGAAAGAGAGAGAAGTATTTTTTAATTTCCTAGGTGCCTAGTCAGCAGTCCAGTCAGCGTTGACTTTGGTCAAAACCGCTTGACCGACAGAAAACCGAGACCAGGGTTGAGTTTTGGACCTAGTAGTTAGTTCGGGGTGCATTTCAACTGGTTTCGTAGTTCAGGGTTGTAAATCGAACCGAGTGGTTAGTTCGAGGTTGAAATGGGGACTTCTCTCTTCTTTCTAATCTAATCATCACCCCACTGATTTTAAGGGGGTGGGGTCGGGTCTTATTTTGTTCCAATCAAATCATGCCACGTATGCGGGAGCACGGATGGGCACACACGCGGGGAGCAGGCAAGTCTCGTCCAGTGTTCCCTTCAAGTTAACCTCCTAGTTCTTTTAAGTTTTTAGTTAATGGAAGAAATATCATTCGTTTTATGTAAATCCGTGTGGTTTATTCAAAAAAATTGAAGTGAATGCGACCACGGTTGGATGACCCGCTCCCTCATCATTTTCCGAGGACTGGTATAGACGAGTTCGTGAACGGATACACGTGTCCGTTTTGGGGCAGCATTGGAGATATCGTAAGTGAACTATGTTGTTGATGTGGATATAAGTAGTGTCTCTCTTATTCATATAGTTTATCCGAAGGGATCACGAAACAAACTGAATTGGGACCTGATACTTCCCCTCTGGTTATTTCCCCTCTATAATCTGACCTAATACTTGAGTGATTAGAGAGAGAGAGGGAGAGCGAGAGAGCACTAATCCCCTGTATTTGATGGAGTAGTGGCTGTATTTGATGCTTTCGAGGAGCGATGATTGCATGCGAACTAGATTTTGCACCTCACAGAATTTTCATATACCAGTTGGAAATCACTCAGTTCAATTCAACTAGAACACTAGCCGAACCACATAACTGGACGCTCTTGGCAATAGCGTCCAGACAAGGACATGGTTCTCAGTGACGTCCAACGCTGGACGCTGTTGTTCATGGCGTCCATCCTATTTTTAAAAAATTTCTTGCACCGTTTACCAATCTTGGAATTACCGAACTGTTAATTATTAATGGTACAAAAATCGGCGTGTTGCGCGCAGCACCTAGTACCTGTCACCACAGGGCATGGTGGCGGGGCCCACCAGCGCCCCTTCGTTCCGTTCGCTCGATTGATTGGTTGTAATGCACAGGCTGTCACCGTGCGCTGTGGCGGCAAGCTCTACTACGGCGGGTGCCACGCGTCGGCTGCCGGGCCTACCACCACGACATAGTTGGTCTTTTCTGTCAATACGATGAGAAGGTGGTCTTTTTTGTCAATCTAAAAACGTATGTGATCATTTCT